CAAAACCAAGCTCAGGAACATGACATTCAAGGTAACAAACTCCACGACTGTCACTATGTGTAGATATGAATATACACAATAATGGAAAACTAAATCACTACTAAGCAGTGATTTTCCTAATGAAGCAAAAAAGCATAGAGAACAGAAAAAGATAGCAATTCTAGGAACGCCTCCTTTTCTTTTTCTCTTTGCCTGCAGTTATTTAAAAAGATTCTGCACAAGTGACATACTTTTATGTTGGTTTGGATATACTGACTAAACATATACTTAGCAAAGAAAATACTGGCATAGTACTGCACAGTAAAGAGTATGGCAAACAGTTTAAGCATAGACTGTAAACTATAAGAAACATGAACACACATTATTGTGACTAAACTTTGAAGTAGTCAGAGAATTAAAGCTGAATGAACCACAGCTAACTGCTGAAAAGATAAGCTGAGCTCTCCACTTTCTTCAAACCCTTACATGTCCCACTCCATTCCATCAGAACTAACTCTGCTGAAATTAATCTTCTCATTTTTGGTGGCGTTCGTTTGCAGCTGTATCAGTCTTAGGTGAAAAATAAAACTCTTGATATTGATAAACACAAAGCACAAAGAGATAGAAGAAGATATATCTCATCATTGAGCTGCAGCCTGCACTCAACTGACCGTAAAAATCAGAGCTTTTGATAGAAAATGCTTTTGATTAATAATAAGTTACCATAAACTTTCAAAAAATTGACACAAACAAACCTCTAAATGGCGTGCAGTCAATACTTTTGTAATTTTCATTTTGTTTCCATTATTTCTAATATTTATACACTTTCTTTAACCAATGTTATTATTATCATCTTCACATCAGTTATCTAAAGCAACTGGCTTTTTACAAATAACTAGACACTACTAATAGGCATATAAGCATCAACAAAAACAGCTGCAAGATTTCTTTTTTTTTGTTGTCAAAAAGTTACATTGCCAAAATGGTAACAAAGTCCAGAATCCTCATATTTTAAACTGATGCCAATAGCCAGAAATATGCTGTCCAATAATATAATGCAAACCATTTGCGATCAATTTAATTTATAAAAAGAAAATAAAAACATACCCCTTCATCAGATACACAAGCAAGACGATCTAGAAGATCAGGATTAGCTGTCAAGCTTTTTATATACTCCTCGCCTATAAAAGCACACACATAAATATTTATGCAAGAGATGCCTGGGATGTAAGTATGAACAGACTGCTGAGACTGTTTATCTGAGCAATAAATTAAACATACATGCCACTTCACTTACACGTATAAGCAGTTATCCCTTCCTCTAGAGCCTTCTCTTTATTAATTTTGTCATTTGTTAAAAAGATAACTTGAATGTTCTCCTCATCCTCTATTTTCTTCAAGTGGTCATTGTACCATTTTACTGCTACCCGAATGGCTCTGTCATTGCGGTCATTAGAAGTTTCTCCTTGCTTTTGCTCTACGTATGTTTCTCTAAATAAAAAAAAAAAAAAAAAAAAAAAAAAAAAAAAAAAAAAGAAGGGGGGGTAACAAAACAAAACAAATCCCAACATCTACCCATACTTAAAGAAATTTTTCAGACAAGCAAGATCAAGACTGTGAGGCCAAAAGAACCACTGCTGTACTTATTTTTATAATACATATAACACTCTGTAGGCCACTGAAGGGTCAGGAGACAAAAGGGTAAAGAAAAGCAGTAAGGAAGTGCTAACTTCTAATAGAACCTTCTCACTGATGACTGAAGAGGACCTGCATTCAAGATGCTAGAACAATAAATTCAAGATTCCTAGAACTATGATACTGCAGTATTGGAAACTACTTGTGAGCACAAATAAAGGCAAATTAATTGTATCTTCATTTCTTAGAGGTTTCTGTCGCTAACTGACTAACAGATTTTTGAATTCTGCTACAGCCTGAGCTGATGATATTAGTAAAGCATTGGAACATGTTTAAAAGGGACATTAAAATGGAAAAGCATTATTCCATTGCACAAGTTAACAGTCTTGCCAGTACACTTAATTCCATATTATAATCACCTTTTCATAATACATGCTTATACTAATTATAAACCAGAAAAGCTCTGCAAGATGCAACTATTTCCCCATAGGATTCCTGAGATTTATACAGTTCTATGCACCCCAGTCTAATTTCTTTACCTAGTTCATGTTCCAGTTCTGTTTCCCAGTTTCTTTTACTGGACATCAGTACGTTGTTATACCCTGTTCCACACCTTACCTGTGATGCTCATTGGTGAAAGAATAGAAATGTTTTTCAGGGGTTTGAATCACGTCCCTAATTCGCTTGTACACTGGTGCACTCCGATTCCTGACTTCTTGTAAGACTGTCTGTAGCACAATGACATTCTTAATAACAGGATCTTCAAGTATATCAATCTGAGGAACAAAATGGAAAGTAATCAGAATTGTTGTTTCATTCTAGCCAATAACATGACTTGAAATATTTGTTTGGTTAATACATAAAAAGCTAACATGAATAATGAGTTGCACTACTTAACATCTTTTTCTCTCACCGTTGGGAAACTGAACAGTATATTCAGCTGCTTCCTCCTGCTTATGGGTAAAAAGTTCTAATAGGATTTTCCAGCCTCTGTGACCTGAATTTTGCTGGAGTGAAGATAAGGACTCACTGACTCCCATCAAATTCAGCCCCAACATATGCAGCACTCCAATCAAATTTAAGGCCAGGTGTACACTAGAAATTTTGTTTACCTATGATGGGTTCTTTTAAATGATAATTTTTGTAAACAAAATAGATCTATCCACTATCTGACACTAATCCAAGATAATTTAAAGGCTGTCTGGAATATGTCTTTGTGAGCAATACAAACCATAAAATAGTACCTGACCACTGTTACACAGTTAACATGGACATGCCTGAGCACATGTAGGCTTAAGTTCTCCAAAATCAATCCCACTGTTGCACTGCAATTTTAATTCAACCAGATTCAAATCAACCGGAATTCTGTTAGCTGCTCTTCACCTTTTCAAAGACCGACTTTTTTTTGAGGAAATTTGTTAAAAATTTTCAGCACTTTTGTTTGCCAACTCCTGACAGCCACAGTGTGCAAGAGAGAGAAACGTACACCCAAAAATCCATGCTCCATGTCAGGAGACATAGATGTGAGCTTCACTTCCTAAGCTTGTGGCAAGGAACTGTGCAAACCCATCTCCAAAACGAGACAGCAGTAAGGCTCTAAAAGGCATGGCTAAAAGAATTAAAAGCCATGCCAGACCAAGCTTCTCTGCACCCGATGCAGAGAATCTTTTTAGATAACCTAAAAAGATTCAGAGCCATATTCATAGAGCAAGAAATTCAGTATCATTCTATGTACAAGCTGACTTACAAGGCCAAGTATTACTGTTGCAATCCTGTTCTAGTTACTAAGTAAAACCTTTTCCTACTGCTACCAAGACTTTCTTAAGCCCACTGCTCCAGTTCATGGCAGAGTACCTTAGCACATTCCCAGAGTGCTCTATAGTATGTGTATACAAACTTTGACAACAGACACCAAGAAGCCTGTGAGTAACAAGTTAAAAAAATCCCTTCACTTCCTGTTTTGGGAAGAAAATCCTTTCTTACAACTTTTGGGATGGGTAATTGCTAAAACAGGCAAGTGTTGCACCCCTCTTCAGAGTAATCCATGTTAGGATTCATTAATTACTTGCAGTCTGAAGTAATGATGAATTACTGCATGGGGCTATTCTACTTTTTACAAATGTATTCAAAGGTAATAAAAAAATCTAAAAACCGTCAAACATCAAACTGGGAATCCACTGCCTCCCAGACTGGAGTTCTACTGCCTGCACAGCCCAGACTCAGCCTTTGCACAATCAGTGATGGGCTGCTGAGTGAAGTTCATCCCATGCTTCCAGAGTTGTACGGGGGACGATTCTGCAGCCTCTATTCATTACCTGAAATCAGTATTGCAGTATAAAGAAGCTAAGTGTACAACTCAGTCTCTGAAAAACTGAATAGGAAAATTCAGCGACCAACTGAAGATCCTGATCACTGCTTCAGAGTCTATTCAATCTCCTTGCCTGACTTTCCATCCCCATATCAGACCACAACAAGCAAAATGTTGTTCTTTATTCCTACCATTCAGGCAACAAAACATAAAACTGGCACACAGTCTAAATCCAGCCTGGTGATGCTGAAGGCCTCCTCAGTAGCAGGCAGGGAAAGAAAAGGCGACCCATCCAGGGATCGAGAGGGCATAAGTAACAACGGCAAGACCTACAGCAGGCGGGTTGGAACAAGGTGCTCTTTAAGGTCCCTTCCAACCCAAACCACTCTATGATTCTAGGACCCAAGCCCGACAGCGCACTGCTGACGGCGTCCCTGCAGGAGTCACGCCTGAACCCCAGGCCTAAGGGGAGCTGGGTATCTCACACCTACAGGGGTTTCATCGAGGCCGGACCAGGCCTTAAGGACCCGGAGGGAGGCGGCGGGCCTTCCCTGCCCGCCCGGGCCTGTGGTCCCGCTGAGGCAGCGGCCGCCGCCCGCCCGCCCGCCCCCCTCG